CACCTGAAACTAATTCTATATAATGAAAGGCTAATATGCAAATTGACCAAACAGCAGAACGACCAGTTGCTAAGATGTACACTGACAACCAGGGGGCGGATGCTCAACACAGGAGCTGCACCCTGGTTAATCAGTTCGCTCCTCAACCAGAAGCTGGGCTCATGACTGGCAAGCATCGCAGTAGTGGCGTCCAGAGCCTCTCCAGCTTCCGCAGCAGCACTAAGGATGTCCAACTGCTGGCTTGGGGGGGGTTGGGCCTAAACCGGCAGTCGGACATCCCTTTGGCAATCTGGGACACTGTGAGCACCAGTGACCACACTTTTCATACAGATGAAAGGCATCTTGCTGTTGTATGGGCAACTACATTTTTTTTGCCAATTATAAAAAGTAGTACATAACATGATCCTTCTGAGGCAGTAGTACCATTTTCCCCATCTTAAGGGTGGAAAAATTGAAGCAGAGATAAGTTATATAATTGGCTTTGTCACACAGTTTTAAGTGTCAGAATCAGGCTGACTACAAAATGTGCAAGCCAGAGTCCATGCATATATCGCTGTATCATCCTGTTTTTTGTTAGAGTAGGTTTTAATTTCTAAATCTAAAAGACTGTTCCCAATATATAGGTGAGAGTTCCTAGGCCTGGCCAGTGATCAGGACCATCTTTGGGCAGGGCAATCAGCCACCACCCCCCACCCGCCCTGGCTGGTGGCTTGGCGCTACCCCAGCACAGCCTGTCCCCCTTTCCACCCCTCCCCCCCATTGCCACCACCAGTTGCCTCCTGGGGCAGGAGTGCCCCAAACTCACTTTTCATGACAAGAACGCCTTTTCCATATTCATCAAAATGAAGCCAGAATCTGCCACATTCTTCATGAAGTCTTCCTTCATCATCTTGAGAGACTTCTTTCATTTCTAAATACCCCTAACCACTCGCCTGCACCATGGGAAGGCACATTTTGCCTTGTACTGTAACTGAACACACTGTATTTTCTCTAAGGACTAAAGGTCCTTGAAGGTTGGGGCAGCTTCCCCAATATCTTTGCTTGCCCACAGTGCATGGTACAAAGCAGATGCTTAATAAATATTTAACTGAAGTACTTACCTAATTGCCTTTCCTTCCTAAAAATAGCACTAATAAACATCTAAGTGATTAGGCAAGTACTCAGAAATGGCAGGTCCCCATAGACACTGAACACCTAATCCTCACTCTGTAAAAAAATTTCAGGTCATATTATGTAGACCATAAGACTTAAAAAAATTGTTTTAAGTAGTATTATCCAGATGCTGCCTAAAATTGCTCCAGCTACAAACATATCTGAGGAAATTAGGCCAATTTGAAATAATAACTGTGTCAATCAAAGAGATTTATCTTGCTATCCTTCAGCCAAGCTAGAACCAAGTTGAAATCACAACTTTTCCCTATATTGGGAAGAGCTTCTTAAGAATATAGCAAGGATGAGGAGCAGTCAAGGTCACATCACACCAGGCAGCATAGAGAACCTCAATTTTCCTGGAAGCTGAACTGACTTTCCAAAGGATGCCTCAATAAGCACCAGGTGACCAAATAATCATCTTGATCATAATCACTGCATGAACCTCCTAACTCCAATTCAACTAAAACCTCATAATTAATGGAGACACCAACACTTCCACCTCCACAAAACAGACATGCCCACCTCCCTCCAACCCCCACAAAAAATTAGATTTTGGAAACAGAATTCATTTTTAATCCTAAGACTGCTATAATTTAAATATAGAAACCAAATAACCCCAAAGTATTAAGATAATCAGTGAGTCAACAGAATCAAATAGAATGCTAACTGCTCAGAACCAAGCCCACCAAAATAAAAGATAAATTATTACATCTGCTAGTGACAAACAACATACATAATTACCTTTTGGACTGTACATAAGGATCATTGGAGCCCTTTTAAATACAGATAGTTAACACTATAATTGATTCCTTATAACTTTCCCCTTAAATCACATATATAGGTTTACAGATGTTCGTATGGAAAACAATACAATAATTAATAAACATACAAGAATAAACTCTACATTTTACATACTCACAATTGGAAACCTACTTTTGCCACACCCTGCATAATAAAAGAGAAAATATGAGGCTCAAATGATTTTAATTGGGATACTATCAACTACATATTACTGTTCAGATTAAAATACTGCTCTGCACTCTGGACTCTAAATATCTCCTGAACTTTACTACCTCGAAAGTGGAAATTTGGGAGTCAAAAGTATGTTTTAAGGAAAATGATCACCAGATTAATATCCTCCTTCAAAAAATGAATCTAAAATTTGATAATCAATTCAGATATTTACAGGATTTATTAGTCAAGTTTCTAAAAAGCCTTGTAAAGCAGCAGTAACTAATCACACTAGAGGGCCTGAGGCAGAAGGTTAGGATTCAAAGCAAACAATTAAAATAAGATAATCAACACACTGAAACCATCTAAAGTTAAAAGTAACTTAAGAAATCCTTAGAATTATAGTCATCAGTTTCAAAATCTTTTAAAAACAAAAACCCCTACTTTTTAAAAAATCACTAAAAAAGTGAAGCAAATACAAAAACTAAAAATATTTCACAATTATTTCAGGATTTTGTATTAACTCACAATTCAGAAAACTCAATGCGTCTCAAAACCTTCTAAATGCCTTTTGTAAGCTGTCTTATATGATGATTACAACAAATACATAATTCAAAAAGTGTTTAAAGCAGACATAACATTTTAGCCAGTGTTAAGATAGGTTTGAAAGAACAAAACAAGCAGAGACAGAGCAGGGCAAATGAAAACTGATAAACCGTAGGCTGATTCCTGGAGGGCAGAGCTAGACTTGGATTGACAGGAGGGAGATTTCAAAATATATTCATACGACAAATTACACCAAAAAAAAACCTGATTCATGCATTTATTACTGACACAAGCATATGTTTTAAAATGTACTTTTAACCTTTGGACAATCAAAGTGGTATCAGATACCTTACAGCCCTGCTTATATTAATCATGTTTCACGTTACTACAGTCCAAATCTCTTAACAAAATCCACGTCCGTTTTCCTAATGAAACACTACAGAAATGGAAAGGCTTTATATCCTCTAAGTAAAGGTTACCTTATTTTATTTTATTTTATTTTTTAACTTGGTTGAAGTTTCAGTTTTGCTTTATCATCTATCCTAGAACACCTCCCTTGTGGGACGTGGTAAAAAACGGGCATACCCTCCTCCTGTCAGGCCGGAAAGCTCCAACACAAAGACACGGAGCGCACCAAGTGCAGTAATTCTTCCAAACTGAGCCTCTCCGGCACCCCCTCGCCGCCCTCCCCGCCCCCCAGCAGATATGTCTATTAAATCGGTGTCTGTTCTCCCCCTCACACAACAAAGAGAACTTCTCACCGCATGAAATTGCCGCTGAATGGACACCAGAAAGCAGGATTTGCATAATTCCTCCAACACCGGGTCGGGGAAGGAGGGGACGAGGGGGCCCGAGCGAACCGGTAGAGATAATCTCCCGAATTCGGCCGGGGAAGACCCGGCTGCTAAGAGCGCTCCCCGCGGGCGGGCGGGGTGGGGGCTGCGATGCCGTGCCTCCCCGAGGACTGGGCGTGGGGGACGGCGGAGGAGGAGGAGGAGGAGGAGGAGGAGGAGGAGGAAGAGGAGGAGGAGAGCGACGACGACGACGACGACGACGACGACGACCAGAGCGCATTTGCCCCGCACATCAGCGGCGCCGAAGCCAAGATGGGGAAACGACAATGCTGGAGGAGGAGGAGGAGGTGGAGAAGGAGGACGGGAGCGCCCGACCCGGGGGTGGGCCGGGGCGAGGGGGCGGCGGGCGGAGCGGAGACACCACGCGGGCCACTTACTTTTCGGAGGGGGGTTAAATATATGAGCTAAGCCCTTATGGTCCCGCCGGCCGCCGCACCGAGGGAAACGGGACCTTGGGAGAGAAAAACAGACAAAAAAAAACAACACACAGTGTGAGGAGAGAGGCGCAGCCCGGCCGCGCGGCCCCTCCCCGGGCGCCCCCCGGCCGCACCCGCTCCGACCCGCGGGGAGGAGGCCACCCCGGGCGGCCCGACGGCCGGGGGGCGGAGGACGAGGCTCTCGGCGAGGAGGCGGCTGCGGCTCCGGCAAATCCCCCCGCCTCCCGCCCGGGAGGGGACAAGAGCGACGAGTCTTCTCGGTCGGACCCGGTCCTACCCCTCCACCCTCCCCGCCGTGCACACCACAGCGAACACAAATACACACACACACCGACCCGAGCGTCGAGGGTTCACTCCCCGGCCGCCGCCGCCGCCGCCGCTGCCCCCCGCGGCCATGACACCCCACTTGGCTTCGGTCAGGCGGACCCCGGGCCTGTGACAGCTCCGGCTCCCTCCGCCCCCATCGCCGCCTCACGCCCCGCACGCGCCCGAGCGCCCGCCAGCCCGCCCGCCGCGCGTGCGCGTGGGGACGGGGGCGCGCGCCGCCGGGGCGCGGGGGGGAGGGGCGGCGCGGGACGGGGAAGGCGCCCCCGAGCGCGGAGGAGGCCGGGGCTGCGCTGGGGCCCAGCATGTCCTCCCCCTTCCCCTCCCCGCCCCCAGGCCCGGTCCGGCCAGGTTCGGTCCGGTCCAGCCCCGCGCTGGGCTCGGCGGGACGCGCGGCGGCAGCGACCCCCGTCAAGTGTCAGCCCCGCGGGGCCGAGTATCCACAATGAGGGGCAGGCGGCGCCGGGCCGACCCGCGAGGCAGGGGAGAGGACGGCAAGCCCCGCCGCCCGCGAACCCGCCCCGCGGAGGGCGCGCGCCCAGGCCGGAGCCCGGGGAGCCCGCCCGGAGGTCGCGCGCCCGCGCTCCGGGGGATGGGGGAGGGGGGCGCCCGAGCCAAAGAGGGCGGGCGGGCCGGCCGGAGCGAGAGGCAATGCCTGCCCCGGCTCCCTCCCACGTCCCGGGCGGCCGGCGGCGGGGCGGCCCGGGGCCCGGGGGCGGCGGGAAGAGGAGCTCACCTACACAGTGGAGGAGCTTGTGGCGCCAGGAGTCCAGTTCCTGCCGAAAGCCGCGCTTCTCAACGGAGCATTGCTGCCGCCTACACACCCTCGCCATCTTCTGCCGCCCGCCCGGCCGGCCCAGCCTCCGCCGCCGCGGCCCCGCGCACGCCCAGCCGCGTAGCCCCGGGGCCGCGCACGCACCCGCCGCCTGGGCGTCGCGCCTCCCGCCGGGGGCGGCGCGGGGGCGGCGCCGGCCTCACCTCGCCGTGGCCCCGGCGTGGCCCCGGGAGGCGACCTAGTGCACGCTCCGCTCCGGGCGCGCGCAGCCGGCCGGCCGGGCTGCGATTCCCGCTCGCGATCCTTGGCCGTGGCCGCCGCCGCCGCCGCCGCCGCCGCCGCCGCCTCGGGCAGCCCAGCCCGTTGCCTTCCTGCGGCCGGAGCGCAGTCCCGGCGCCCCCGCGCCGCCGCTCTGTCCTCCGCGGCCCCCTCCTCCCCTCCCCGGGGCTTTAGGGTCTCAGGCCGGCCCCGTGGGTCGCTCCCAGCCCGCCGATGACCAGGCACCAACTGTTGCAAATTTCGTGGAACTGCTTCTCTGAACTTCCCGGTCGAAACGGCTCCTCCCACGAGCCTTCTGTTTAAGAAGCAAAATTCAGAATAAATACCCGATGCCCGTGGAGGCACTGAGCCCTAAACGTTTTAAAAGATAAAAGTTTGATACGTGTTATGAAGTCTTTGGGAGGCTTACACAGCATTCGTAAAGTCCGGTAAAAAAAAAAAAATTTTTTTTTTGAAATCAAGCCTTTTGATTTCAATTAAAAAAACAAGAGGTTTCTACTAGCAAGACTGAGCATAGGTAAAATTCTCAGGTGGACAGGTTAAGAATCCCCCTTCTGTGTGGTGTGGAAAGCGATTTAAGAAAATTGTGCTAAAAGTGGGAATGGCATGTGGAAAGAAGGCTTAGTTAATAATGATTAAAGCGGAGTACTGGGAGGGACACAATTCCGTCTTCCAGGAAAGACTGGGGAAAAAGTATTTTCGAAGGGAGTTTTCAGGTGGGGAAACCCAGGATAGTGAAATAATCCTGGGAGGGGCACTAGCTATTCCATGCAAACACCAGGCTGGCCTTCATTGCTTGTCTGTTAACTTGAAAGTGAAAAGAGAAGAATGAAAGGGGGAAATCAGAAAGGGGGGTAGGGAGGAAAAACAACGCAAAATAGATCCCGTTTTAACAATAGGCCCAGGACCTTGGAATGTCGGCTCTCCCTTCGTTTTAGGGTTTAAGATTAAAGACGGTGCATTCCTGCTTTTAGATATGTAAACTTAAATTCGAAGACTTAATTTTAATTATTGTAGTAGGTAAAACAAAATAAGTGGTTGGCATCAGGGATCCCATTGGTGTACTGATTTATGTCTCTTCAAGGGTAGTGTGGTCTTGGTTCTGTGGACCAGGAACTTGTGGAATTCTTGGATTGGAGTGGTTTGAGATGAATGAATAGAAAAGTACCTTCTGCTCCCCAAATATTAGAAACCAATGACTTTTCCCCAGTTCTCAGAATTCCACAATGCTTCACTGACTTAAGAGTGCGGTCAAATGAACAAGCTATTATTAAGTCGTGAAGTATTGAATTTCTGTGTACATACAACTGTCCTAAGTGGTGAGGGGAGAGCACAAATATGAGATAAAAAACTGAAACTTCCTTTCTTCATCGCTAGGTGGTAGATTGTCATCTTTTGTAGCTTTCCACCAAGTTTCTATGGTTTCTAGAGGAAGTTATGTTTCAAAGTTTGAAATATGTGAATATGTAACTATCAAATAAATTAATAATGAATGTATTTTCCAATGACCCCATATGTTTTGTTTAAAAGTAATCGAACCAATGGTAATACTTCCAACATAATCTCTTAGTCTCACAAAGATTAAGCGAGTCTTAGTGCCCCAGCCGGTTTGGCTCAGTAGATAGAGCCACGGCCTGCGGACCAGAGTACCTCGGTTGCAGGCCCCTCTCCCACTGGGGCCCGGTGGGTGCTCCTGCAGGAGGCAACCAAAGGCTGTGTTTCTCTCACATCAATATTTCTCTCTCTCTTTCCCTCTCTCTTCCACTCTCTCTAAAAATCAATGGGAAAATATCCTTGGATGAGCGTGGACCTATGAACCAGGAGGTTCACAGTTTGATTCCTGTGCATGTGCCATAATAACTTACTCAAATTCACACAAAAGATAGTTTCAGGCTCAATCCTCAGTGTGGAGCATGCAGGAGGCAGCCAATCAATGATTCTCTGTCATCACTGATGTTTCTATCTCTCTCCCTCTGTCTGAAATCAATAAAAAGACAATAAAATAAAATTTTAAAGAAAGAAAGTTTAAAGTTGAAATGTATTAATTAGAAAAAATTAAAATATATATTAACAGTTTCAAGAGGATGTAGGGATATTTTTTATTTTTAAAAAGTATTTTTTCCATAGCCCTTGATACCATATTCTGTGCTGATCTATATTTACCTGAACAAATGGCATCAGATTTTCAGGAAAAAACAATCAGGCAGTTCACTTTTATCTTTGTTAGGAGACTATAAGGAGAGTGGAGAAGGGGTAGAGAATCACCAGAAAGGAGTTATTTATAAGTAGGCAACAAACAAAGGATGTTTCCATGGAAAATGTGTTTTCATTTTGAAACCTGAAAAGGTATAAAATGCATCTGAGTTAGGGAAAATGAAAGTGTTTAAAACCAAAGGAAGTCCTTAGGAAAATTTTTAAGAAGTATAAGAAAGTTTGGTAAAATGGGCATTGCCAAGTTTATATCTGATTTGCCCATCTAACAAAACGGACTGAGCAACCACCCAAACTTGTTTTCATTTAATCTTTTAAAAGATTGGTTATTCAGAGTCTACTATGTGCCAGCTACACAAAAAAATGGGTGGTTGGTTCTGGTCAATGAACTAATTGTGAGCAGAAGTGATACCTAAGACTTCAAGACTAGTAAGTGATTTTCAAGGGTCTGAAGATGGAGGTTCAGAGTCATTGGAGATTTAGATCAACTTCCGGGTTGGAAGCAGAGCAGATAGAGCAGGGCATAGAATTCACATCTGCTCATTCTTTATGCAATGGTCTTCCAATATTGGCCTTTAGGAGTACTAAATATTATATGATACTAGGTTATCATAAAGAGTGGTTTCATCATTGTGAATGAATCTTAATTATGTTCCTTGTAGATAACATAGTAACTATTACTATAAAAAATACCGTATTTTTCGGACCATAAGACACTCCGGACCATAAGACGCACCAGTTTTTAGAGAAGGGAAATGAAGAAAAAAAGATTCTGAAACAAATAGTGTCCTAAAATATTTTATGTGCATTAAAACCCAACATCACAGTCATAAACACATGTAATCAACCCTGTAAAGTAAACAGCAGCATTTAGAACCATTTTAGAGCCGGGCAAGCACACAGAGACCAAACAGAGCCGGACAAGTAAAAAAACTTTTTTTTAAAAGTATATGTGTAGGCTATATTTGGACCATAAGACGCAGGGACTTTTTCCCCCCACTTCTGGGGGGAAAAAAGTGCGTTTTATGGTCCGAAAAATACGGTAATACAGATATCTTAAGTACCTATCAGTTTGGGGGAGAGGGGATCAGAGTAACATATGAATTTGTGGAATAATGATAAGAGTTACTATTTATTGAGTGGGGACTCCAAGCTACGTCCTGAGCTAAGCACTTTATATTTTTATTGATTTCAGAGAGGAAGGGAGAGAAGAGAGAGATAGGAACATCAATAATGAGAGAGAATTATTGATTGGCTACCTCCTGCACACTCCCTACTGTGGATTGTGCCCACAATCCTGGCAGGTGCCATGACTGGGAGTGAAACCTCAACTCCCTGATTCATAGGTTGATGCTCAACCGCTGACCCTCACCAGCCAGACCCTTTCATGTATTATTTAATACTTAAAACAATTCTGTAAGATCAGTACTGTTTTCAATCTCATTTTAGAGATGGGGGAAAGAAAGCACATAGAATTTAAATAACTTATTCAAATTCACACAACAGATAGTTGGAAGAATTTGCACTCAAGAGATTCCAATAATTTGGTTCTTCTCTTTTTTATGTAGTGCATCAAAGATCAAGGTACTAGTGAATGCCTTTTCAAACATTTAAGCACTGTTATTTGTCACTAAAACTGTGCTATACTAAATGTCTTGTATAATTACATATACTTACGACTCATTATTTTGCCTGTAGCGCATTTCTATAGTTTCTTCTCAAGCATTATCTTATTGATCCAATAACAGTTCTTCCCAAACCAATCAAAATGCATAAATAACAAGGCATACTCTATGGAGTTCTTGAAATACTGTAGATACAGTACAACATGAAACAAAGAACAGTTCATCTATTCGTGGAATGGGTGACATCTCATATTCAGAAGAGGAAAAATAAGTACACTACAGTGATGAATGACATCTCAATCTTTTTCTCACATTCAGCTTAAAAAAAGAAAACATAATCTTCACATGTTACTTGTCGTGGATGTCATCTTGGCATAAAAAAATTTCCCTGCAGAACTTTTCTTGAAAATCACTCTGCAGATCTCTCTGAAAGCTTTCATTCTCTCAGTCAGATTCTTCTTGACAGACTCTCCTAAGATGCAGTGTTAATGATGTCAATAAACTCTAGGTGTTTCAAACAGATAATGATGTTGCTGTGCAAATGCTCTTTCATACTGTCTGACACTATTAATTCTGAAAAAGTCTATCGGTCAGTTCTTAGATCTATCACCCTTTCAGAAAGTTGACAATACCAGTCATCATTAAACCTTTAAAATCAATTCTTCATCTTTCTTGGTAATCAATTTGTTTTATGACCTTCAACAAATCACTCAATTCTCTGACCCTCATTTTTTTTTTATTAATTCTCAGCCAAGGATATCTTTTCCATCATTATTTTTTCTTTCTTTCGTTTTTTTGTTTTGTTTTGTTTTGTTTTGTTTTGTTTTTGTTTTTGTTTTTTAGAGCGAGTAGAAGAGAGAGAATAAGAGAAAGGGAGAGAGAAAAAAGCATCCATGTGAGAAAGACTGATTGGTTGCCTCCTGCACATGCCCCCATTCAGGGCCTGGATCGAACCTGCAACAGAGGTATGTGCCCTTGACTGGGAATGGAACCCAAGACCCTTCAGTGTGTAGGTTGGTACTTTAACTACTAAGCCACACCAGCCAGGGTCTCTGACCCTCATTTTACTTATTTTTTAAAAATATGTTTTTATTGATTTCAGAGAAGAAGGGAGAGGGAGAGAGAGAGAGATAGAAACATCAATGATGAGAGAGAATCATTGATCAGCTGCCTC